CAGCAGTGGCAACTGGAACAAGAAAGGAAACAAGAAGTACAAATGGAAAACATTAGCAAATTTCAAAGCGAATTAAATACATTAAAGAATGATTTACTGTCTTTTACACATCGACCTAATCAGCCTCATACAATGGGAAGCAGCTAAGCCCTAACGAAGACATCTTCAGTCTTGTTAGAAGTCACATCCCAGATATGAATGTCAACAATAGGGGTGATCTAGTACGAAGGAAGCCACAGGAATTCGATGGGAAGGCACCGTGGGAAGCATATAGAGCACAATTTGAGATCCTGGCAGAAATGAATGGATGGACAGAGGAGCAGAAAGCAGTATATCTGAAGGAACAACCACTGGAAATACTTGGACAGTTGTCAGCAGACGACAGGCACAACTATAGAGCACTGGTAGTGGCTCTAGAACTCGGGTATGGAACTCAAAATCAGTTTGAAGTCTACAGGGCGAGGTTTAAGACGAGAGCCCATACTAAAGGGAGAGCCTGCAAGTGCTGGTACATGATTTGGAAAGTATGGCACACAAAGCCTACCCAACTGCGCCACCCGATCTCAAGTTGTTGCTGAGGGATCAGTTTGTAGATGCCTTGGATAGTCCACAACTGAATATACAAGTAAAGCCAGCACACCCCTCTACTATTCAGGATGCAATGACCATAGCTCTTGAATTTGAATCCTACATTAAGTCCAGCACAGTGATACAAAGGTTGGTACAGTCATCAGGATTCAAGGCCAGACAAGGGCAGCTTTCAGAGACGTTTGAGGGACTTTGCTGGCCCTGTAATAAACCTGGGCACAAGAGAGCTTAATGCTGGCAACTTCAACACAGGGAAGATGTAACAGCAGGAAAGACTGCTACCCAGAAAGGTTGTTGGAACTGTGGAGAGTAAGGAGCCAGTGTAAAAAGAATACTACCAATAAGTCAGCTTCGGGAAACCAGTAGTGGTTGATGCTGAGAGATGCCCACCAACCCCCATCGTGAAAATCTCAACAGCTAAGTGTAAAATGGCAAGTACACATAGTGTCTACGTGACAGGAAAACTGGATGGCCAAAAGTGCAACTTTGTCATAGATTCTGCACTTCAGTAAACCCTTGTGAGTATCAAGATGCTGGATCACAAAGGAGTACTAGAAGCTGTACAGAAGCTCTGTGGTGTGACACAACATTCTGCAAGGTTGTGAGGACCAGTGTGGGTAACTATTGAACCCATAGGCATGAAGAACCAACAGAAATATACCTGTTTGACATTGAAGACCAATGCATATTAGGATTGGACTATTTAATACCGAGGAAGTGTGTAGTTAACTTCGATAAAATGACGTTTGGGAACAACGAAGGCCAAATTCCAGTAAGTGTTGCTATGTCTGTTGATTTGCATGTCACAGCACTTAAGTCAACAACAATACCCCTATGTCAGAGAAGATAATTTGGGGTAGAATAAAAGAACATCTCCATGGAAGCCCAATGCTTGTGGAAGCAATGGAAGACCCATCCAGGCCAGTGGATGTGAAGATTGGAAGGTCACTTGTGGCAGGTCATCAAGTAGTACCTATAACAGTGGCCAATTTCTCTAAATGTGAGCAGACACTTAAGGAAGGGGCATTGTTGGGTGTGTGCCAGGAGGTAGAGCCAGCCAATGTTAAAGCAAGAAATACGACCATAAAGAAAGGACATTCTCTCCCAGAACATTTAACTGACCTCTATAAGAAGAGCATAGTCCATTGTCAACATCACAGGCTCATCAGGTTAGAAAACTCTTGGCAAATTATGCAGATGTATTTTCGAAAGGAGATCATGATCTCGGCTGCACAGACCTTGTAGAGCACAGAATAAACACAGGCAATCACCGTCCAATAAAGATCCCTCCGAAGAGAATAGCTCAGGCAAAGCGGCAGAAGATGGAGAAGGTCATGGATGGCCTAATTAAGGAAGGGATAATCGAGAAATCAGATAGTCACTGGTCAGCTCCCGCCATGTTAGTCCAGAAGAAGGATGGGACCCAACGTTGCTGTGTGGACTTCAGGGCTCTTTACAATATAACTGAAAAAGACTCATGCCTACTACCAAGAACTGATCATACTCTTGATGCCCTAAATGGAGCCAGGTGGTTTTCAACTCTGGACTTCAAGTCTGGTTTCCATCAAGTGAAAATG